GTTTTAAATTTATTTATTTATTTATTTAGCTTTAAATGCAAAGCTTTAAATTTATTTATTTATTTCTTTAGTTTAAATTTATTTATTTATTTATTTAGTTTAAATTTATTTATTTATTTCTTTAGCTTTAAATGCAAAGTTTTTTGGTTTTTTTTAACTTTTTTTTTTTTGCCCTCCCCCTGCTGCTGCAGTGGCCTGGGGTGGTGTTTGATGCTCCTGAGGATGCTGTGGCTCCCCGGCAGGATCGGTGCTGCCTCCAGGAGAGCCCTCCCGGCTGGATTCAGCAGGAATGTTGGAATTTCAGGGAGGTTTGGAAGGGAGGGGTTTGCCCTGGGGTGCAGGTAACGTGCCCGGGCTGTTCCTTTTTGCAGGGTTTGGGGTTTGCACGTCAGGGGAGGCTGCCTGGGCTCGGAGAAAATCCGAGTTTTCCCCGGGGAAAAGGGGCAGGATTAACCTCTGGATGGGCAGAGGAGCCCCCTGTGAGAGCTGCAGCTCCAGGGATGATCCCTGGGGGAACAGGGACCCTGACAGGTGATTCAGGTGGGATTTTGGGAAAAAATCTTTCTCTGTGAGGGTGGGGAGGAATGGAATTCCCAGAGCAGCTGTGGCTGCCCCGATCCATGGAAGTGCCCAAAGGCTGGAGGGGGCTTGGAGCAAGCTGGGGTGGTGGGAGGGGTCCCTGGGCAAAGGGAGCGGCTTTAGGAGCCACAAAATCAGGAATTCCGTGGTGGCTGCTCAGTCTCCTGCTGAAAAATCGACTTTAGCCATGCTCCCACCTCACTGAAGTGAGGGAAACTCTGGACTTGGTTTATCAGGATTTCATGGAAAAATCACCTGTAACTGAAATAAAACCACCCCGAGCTCTCCTTCACGCCTTGGTTTATTTCTTTTCCATACCTGCAGCAGGAAAATGAGGCTTTGGACTCGCAGGTCTGTCCTGAAGGATGGACACAGCAGAGCTTGGGGTGTGAGGCAGAGCGGGATCCAGTGTGGAATGGTTTGGGATGGGACCTTAAAGGTCACCCTGCCATGGCTGGGACACCTCCCACCATCCCAGGCTGCTCCAGCCCGGCCTTGGGCACTGCCAGGGATCCAGGGGCAGCCACAGCTGCTCTGGGAATTCCATCCCAGCCCGGGATTCCTTCCCAATATCCCATCCATCCCTGCCCATGATTCCAGGGAGCCATTCCCTGTGTCCTGTCCCTCCAGCCCCTTGGAAGTTGTGTCTTTCCATCCTTCCCGTGGCTCCTTCTCTTCCTGGAGTTTCAGGTACCTCCCTCATCTCTGGCAATTCCCACATGGAATTCTCTGCCTCCCATCCCTTCGGGAAGGCACGGAGTGACCGCTGCTCTCCCAGCTCCCCACATCACCTCAGCATCCTGGGAATGCTCCCCTCATCCTGGGAATGCTCCCTGTGTCCTGGGAATGCTCCCTGGATCCTGGGAATGCTCCCTGTGTCCTGGGAATGCTCCCTGTGTCCTGGGAATGCTCCCTGGATCCTGGGAATGCTCCCTGGATCCTGGGAATGCTCCCTGGATCCTGGGAATGCTCCCTGTGTCCTGGGAATGCTCCCTGTGTCCTGGGAATTCTCCCTGGATCCTGGGAATGCTCCCTGGATCCTGGGAATGCTCCCCTCATCCTGGGAATGCTCCCTTCATCCCAGGAATTCTCCCTGGATCCCGTGTGGAACAAAGCCAAGCCCCAATCCTGGGAAAAGGGACCGGGAACAGAACCCTCGGCCCGGCTGCCAAAACCTCCCGGAGCAGCGCAGAGATCCGAGGTGTGGAAATGAGAATTCATTTCTCTCAGCAGTCGCTGCTTGCTTGGCTTTCTGTAATTTCAGAACTCCCAGGGAATGGGAAAGGAGCGAAGCTGGGAGGGTGACGAGGGAATATCGGTGCAGGGAGCCGAGCCAACCTTCTGTGTGAGTGGAGAGTGCTTCAGGTGCTTTTATTTGCCCTCTGGAAACAAGGACATCTCAAATTAAAGAAATTTTCACCAGTTCCAAGTGAAACAAGAGAATGTTTTCCTACTCCAAGCACGGTTTGGAGCCCGGTTCAAAATAACTGGGGACTCTGAGGATATTCTGCTCCGAGGATAATGGGAATGTCAACAGGAACATTAAGTAGGAAGTGTGAAAGATCAAAATCTTTGTGTCTGCAGGCAAAAAGAAAAGAACCCTGGGCTCCTCTGAGGATCCCAGCACAGCCCCGGTGCTGTGAGTCCCTCACTCACACCTTCCTGGGAAAGCTCTCAGGGACAGCCTGGAAGGATTTTGGCTGCCAGGGAGGTTCTGGAGGATGAAATCCAGCGAGGAGCACCAGCAGCTCCTCCTGGAGGAGGAGGAGGAGGAGGAGGAGGAGGAGGAGGAGGAGG